TGCAGTGGCTGCTCCAGGCCATTGCAGCCTCGACCTGCTGGGCTCCGGCGATCCTTCCACCTCAGTCTTCCAAGTAGCTGGAACCACAGGCGTGCGCCACCACAGCTGGCTAAGTTTTTGATTTATTGTAGAGATGAGGTCTCACCAAGTTGCCCAGGCGGGTCTCGAATTCGCGGGCTCGGATAATCCACTCACCTCAGCCTCCCAAGGCGCGGGATTACAGGCTGAGCCACCGAGCCCGGCTAAAAAAAAAAACAAACAAACCATTTTTTAAAAGCAGTTTTAGGTTCACGGCAAAATTGAGAAGAAAGTACAGAGTTCCCAGATACCCAACCCAATCACCAACATGCCCCATCAGATGGGACATTTGTTACAATCAACCTTCCTACATCGATAGGTCATGATCACCCAACGTTCCCCTTGGCCTTTACCCGCGTGAGCGATCCTTCCTCTGCCACTGAAATGGTGTATGGGTGAATTTAATGCCCTGGAGAGTTTGTAACAGTCACTGAAGTTTGAATTTAATGGAAAACATACTTCTCCATCCTCTTGACTAAGACTTCTGGAATCCATTTACAACATTCGTTTTTCTCTGGTGTTAGGAAGGCATCCCTGACATAGAAGCCCTGTTACAATTAAGTCCACCGCACTTCTGGGGAAAAAGAGTCAATCTGATCACCATCCCATACTTCATACACCACCTGTGTGCAGAGACTTCGACCCCTTGACCTTCTCTCGTTAGGGTCCATAATCTCAGACTTTCCCCATCTGTTGCATTAAACAGCCCTTGTGCATTACTTTCCTCTTTCCTCACAGAATGGAATATAAAATTCAGCACAAGATTTTTTTTTTTTAATTTTAGAAACAGGATCCCCCTCTGTTGCCCAGGCTGGAGTGCAGTGGTACAGTCGTGGTTCACGGCAGCCTCAAACTCTTGAGCTCAAGGGACCCTCAGCCTCCCAAATAACTGGGACTATAGGCTTGTACCACCACACCTGGCCAATTTTTTTTTTTTTTTGTAGAGATGGGGGTCTCGCTATGTGACCCAAGATGGTCTCAGATGCCGACCTCAAATGATCCTCCCACCTCAGGTTCCCAAAGCACTGGAATTACAGATGTGAGTCACCATG